CCGAGAGTTTCGGTTAAGGACCTAGCCACTACGAAGGGGGATACTGTTCTGGCTTGCTTGTTTGTTTTTTTCGCAGTGTATAACGTGGAAATGAGGAAAGGTTTGTCTTGGCCGGAGGAAAAAATTGATATCTTCGGTGCGTACCCTCTTTGAGGAGGCACGATCACTTAATAGGGGAAATGCTTTATGCTTGAAAGGAACATGCGCGAAAGGAACAGAACAGGGCATGGTAATGAGCGAAAGGAACAGAACAGGGCATGGAGGCCCCGCAGGGGCGCCTGATAAAGCAGGCGTTTGGGTGTGTAGCGACACCACGGACCCGAGCTAACGGGGGAGTTTCTACTCCCTCCCAGCCTAGCCGTGCGTGGCTTTGCCGTGTCCGGGGAAAAGGGAATCATGGGGGTTGAGCTGACGCTGGAATGATTGGACCTTTAAGGCCCCCCGTCAGAGGCAACCACCCCTTTGGCCCCGGCTTCACGTAGACGGCACCCCTGGGCTGACCCACCCAGGGAAATCGGCAGTCGCCTTTTCCTATCCCTCTCATCCCTACATCTTCGTCTTTATCTCTTACTATTTATCTGTCCTGTCTTCTACTCTCTTCCGTTTACTTCCAAACTTCCTGGCGGCTAGGGTTAACCCTGTGCAAATAGCCTACCTTGGTCTAGGCGCATTGGGTTATAGTGGCGTTGTACGGCTGGCGTCTGCAGGTTTCAGCATCCGTAAACTTGCAGCGTCCCCTCGTTGGGCTCCGTGGTGGGTGGCCGCCAACGCTACTGAACAACATACACTTAGCATGCACAAAGCATTTCCCTTACTTAGTGATCGTGCCTTCTCAAAGCGGGTACGCACCGAAGATATCAATTTTTTCCTCCGGCCAAGACAAACCTTTCCTCATTTCCACGTTATACACTGCGAAAAAACTAACAAGCAAGCCAGAACCCGCCACAATGGTGTCATTCCCCTGCTGTTCAAGCCTGCTCAACAAAAGGCTTGCCTCGCGAAGCTTCCCTTGAGACCTAACTGCTTCCTGAAACATCTACTGGCCAGTGTCTTGCAGGCTGGGCACCGATAGGGTTGAAAGCCTCCCAAGTAGACCGGCTTATGCACAATGGCGTCTGCCCAGACAAATTGCTGGGCCAAACGTAAGAGCTCCTCCGCCGCCCGGAAAATCTCCGTTGGCCAGCGCTCCCAACCGCTGGGCACGAAGAGAATGGTTGGTGACGAGGACGATGACCTAGCTTGGGCCCTCTAGCTGCGAACTTGTAACCAACTCCAAAACCACCCCACAATGATCGACAACGGCAAAGCGAGCTACACAACAGAATATTATGCTGCAGTCAAGCACATTGGACTCGCTTAAAAATCCTTCGAGGCTTCTTAAGAAACACGAACAAAAAAAAACCCTTACGCTAAAATTTTGACACAATTTTGTGCAGCCAAAGTTACAACAATCATGGATGTGGAGATGCTTACTAAAGATGGAACAGTTTGCCGCGTGAGAAAAGCGCACAAATGCAAATACAACTCGGCCCCAGAAACCATAATCACACTCTTTTAAATTAGCTTTCTCTCAACATCTGCACTACTAAGTTGTAACTTATATCAGCTAACATCATGAGTAACTTCATGAAAGACAACTACTAATTTTCACACAAATGAGCGTGAACCTATAAAGATATCTGGGCGCGTTTTTATTTTTTCATTACATACTTTCAAGGCGTAGTTGAGAGTACCTACTTGTAGGCCACTCTGACGCCAACGAAAACTTACAACAGATCTAAGTGTGTCTTATGGCGAATTCCATTGAGAGAACAGGAGTAAGGGTGCCGAGCAGAGAGGAGTAGGGGGCAGAGCACTGAGAGCCGCGTCACTCGACCTGCCACGGGAATGCGGCACACCTCCGCAGAGCAGGTTGTGAGGGAATAAAAAGGCGAGTGAGGAGAAGGTTGTGCATCCCAGCGTCCTCTGCTGCAAAACACGTGCGGTCTGATCCGGACGGGCAAGGAAAGCACGTGTGGCAGTGGTTGGTACAGCGCACTCGCTTGCGCGCTATCCTGCAAAGCTGCTGCTTCGTATACTACTACATGATGGACTCGGAAGCTCAGCGCATCCTACTGTCTTAATTCAACACCAGGCACCATCTAGTACGGAAGGTAAAGTGAATTTGATTGCTTTTTATTTGTTTCAAGCGCACTTGTCGCGCATGCAGCATGCAATGCATTCTTGCGCGCGTGGACCTAAGCCCACTATTCTTTATCATATCAGAAAAACACCGTGGATATGACAGCTTATCAGACTGTTCATGCAGTTCCAGCTGCTGCTGTCATCAGCAGTTAACAAAAACGTAAACAATTCTAGAAGTACTGCAGTACACTATCCTGTTGCCAAGTTTCCTTGCATGAGTAATTAATCCTAATTCAAAACAACTTACATTGCAGACCCCTCCATCCAGCAACAGAAATGATTCGCAGCGTTTTAAGAAAAGTAACTGCGAAGTGGCGTGTAGCAAGGTGTCACGTGGGTGCAGCTAGTATTGCACGCAGTAACAATTTATTTTTATTTCTGATTTTAAGTGGCTAATGTCTCCAGACGGCAGATCAGCATCCCACGTGATACGGTGAAGCCATACATCTCCTCGGAAGCACGATTTCTTATCGCAGGGTCGAGATGCTACGTATGATAAGCGATATTTTTTTTAATTATCAGTGATTTGTGCAGTGTTTCATGCAGCCCTGTAACATGATGAATTGACTTTTTTAGAATTTGTTTTTTGCTTGCTCTAATCCGCTTACCTTCGAGTGTAAGGCATCCGAGTTTGCATAATGTAGCTGACTACTTGAGAAACCATTTCATTATATAACTGATTTGATTACATTTCCATCATTGTGTGAAAACAGATGCAGTTCTGCGTACAAATATGGCTGGCGATGTGCCAAGGCGATGGAGCGAAGAAATGCGCATGGAGCTCAGATTGCCATGCGTTGAAACAGGAGGTGGTAAGTATTAGTATTAACATTATTGCGAGGCACTACATTTACTGCTCATTTATATTTTTTAGATGGCACAGATACTCTGCACCTGCCAGCTCCCACTGCATCAAGATCAGCTGACGGGGAGACTGGTGCTCAAAGCAAGCCATCAGGCTCCAGGAGAGGAGGTGGAGGCAAGTATATTAACAACTGAGTGTCTACAATTGCCTCAGCAAGTGTTCTTGGGTAAATCTAACAAGCATGCATCAGAGCGTGTAAAAGTGTACTTGTAGGAGGTGATCTTAAATGACAAAAAAAAAAAGAGAGCATGGAAAGCAGACCACTACAATTACTGAAGACTGGCACAATTTGCATATTGCATTTACATGCACAATACCAGAACTTATCAATTATGTATGTTTGCTAGTCTGCGCAAATGCGTGTTTTGTTGATTAATGCTTGCTGATTGATAATTAAGCTCAAGTGACCGTGCTGTGTGTTAAAATTATTCAATTATAAGTAATGCCTGCACAATGACCGACAGTTTCCCATAACCATTTATGTGTTGGTTCTTTCTATTCTAGCTGCTGAATGGACAGAGGGGCAAACAAGGCTGCTCCTAGAGTACTACCTCAAATATTTCCCTCAGATTGGCCCATTTAAAAAAATTCAAAAACAGGAAGCAAGCCTTTAAACAAATATCGATGGACATCGAGGCTGTGCTTGGCATAGCCAAAACCCCAGAACAGTGTGAAAATAGGTACAAAACAGTAATTAGGCGTCGGAAGGCGTCTTCCGACCATAACAAAAGGTCTGGTGCTTCACCCCACCCCTGTGCCTTTTGACGACGAGGTGAAAAAAATTGAAAGCATTGATGACAGCATTGAACCGGAGGTAGAGCGAGACGCCTCAGGGGCTACATTCAAGCCTCGCCCGAATCTCCGGCCGTGTTGTCACCTGCCAACACCACTGAGGAAAATAAGACGCAGTCCTCAAATCCCGACACGAAGCCACGGGTAGGAACTGCACGCCTGGCACACATGCAGTTGTTTTTTACTGAAATGAGGGCACTGCAAGAAGAAAAGGAGGCTCAAAAGGCGGCCAGACGTCAAGAAAAAGAAAATCGAAGAGCTGAAAGGCAGGCCGAGCGACAGGTGCTTCGTGAAGAGCGGCGCAAAATGCATGAAGAAAAAATGGAGATTCTCCGTCAGGCCTTTGGACTTCCAAAATAAAGTGGTAGTTTTAAATAAATAAACGTACTACCAAGCGATTACTTAGTTTCAATGTCTTTTATTTTCTAGTTTGGCACAATACACTACCTTGAGAAAATGCAAATGGGCCAACAGGTGTGTGGTAAGGACAATTTTTCCCAACCTTGAAGGTGTTTTAACGAGTTCAGCTTTTCAGGTGGGCCTTTGGTAAGCATATATTTGCTCACAACTGCATAACACGTAAAGGAATTCCTTGTTTCATGGCTGCTGGTTCTGCAACCCCATTTTTATCATCAAGTGATCTCTCTTGATGCTAGCCAAGCCACGTAATAGGCTATCCTGTTGGGCTACACTACTGCTGCTTACTTGAACTGCAGAAGAGCTTGAGTCTACATTTGTTGTTTGTGAGGTAAGTGACAGGTCTCGTGACAGGTTCTCTGGCAAATCTCCACAATCAATGCAGAGGTTGTGAAGCACACAGCATGAAATGATAAACTTGGACATGTTATCCACTGTCCACATATCCAACCTGTGCAGTTGTCTGAAACGATTTTTAAATCGCCAAAAGTATTTTCAATAAGCACCCTTGTCCCGGAGAGTCTTGCATTGAAGGTTTTTTTGATGCTGTCAAGATTCCCATAGTCCTCGAATTGGTGTCATCAGGTACTCCCGGAAAGGATATGCAGCATCCCCCACTATATGGTACTTGCTAGAGCACAGTTGTGGCAAAACACTTGAAATCCTGGACCGACGGAAAATGCGTGCGTCATGAATTTTGCTTGGGTAGCCAGTGCTGGCATCAAGAAACCTCTTCTTGTTGTCACAAACACCTTGAAGTGTCAAGGATAGGTAATGGTGCCGGTTTATATAAAACAGATCGCACTTTCCTGGCTGGGCACCTGATAGGCATGTAGCTTCCGTCAACACACCCAATTGTGTCTGGGAATCCCGACAGCTGCAAGAGAAAAAAATGTGCACACACATAGTCAAATAAGCATGGCACTAAGGGTAATGAAAGGTGCCAATAACATGCGGAAAAGTTTAAAACAAACTGGAGACTTGAAGCTCATAACGGCGAGTGCAATACACTACCGGTACACATGATTGAAATTAACTGGCTATTTAATTGTGAAGCATCTGGGAAAAATAATTGTAATAACTTATTTAAAAGGTGCATTCTGGCACTAACTAATTCATAATTGTAATAGTAGAGCGGTAAAGAACACATGGGACCGCACGAAGGGGAATTAATGACACATACAGAGTACATACAGAGTGCACAAGTAACTGAACTCTAGGTTTTATTCACTGTACATGCAGGGACAAGTACTAGATGTACATCACTAAGCAGAAGATGGGAAAATAGAAGAGATATGAAACAGCATCACATGGTCAAAACTACTCAAGAAAAATGTCCGATTGCTGACAGCATTTGTAATACACATGAAGGAGGCTTGACTGTGTGGTGCTCTTTCATATCTCTGCATTTTTACATTTTCTGTTCATTTGCAGTTCTGATCCTGCATATCAGTTGCTTTCAGTCCTTATTGTGGTTTGAGTAGGTGTAATTCCTCTTAGTCTGGTCCCTTGAGTTGTGTAGAGCTGTATGACATTGGTGTGAAAAAAACTGTAGTTTATACCTTAAATAGCATGTTTACAAAAGCATAGTTACCTTCTCAAAATCCACAGCAAGCTTCTGCAGGTCACTGGGGAACTTGATTACATTCGGTGCTATGTCGAGCAGGAATGCAGTTACTCGGCCCATCATTCTGTGGTGAGTGCTTTCTGCGACTTCAAAGCGGCCAGCGACATCTCTAATGCATGCTTTGTTGGCTGCATACCTGAAAAGGAGAGGATACTCTAATTAAATAATGGAATTAAGCTTGCTGTTGCTGTCAATGACTGAATAATGGTGTTAACAATGCTGTCGCTGTCAATGAAGCAAATTAGCAAGACAACTGAAGTCAGAAAACACGATTCCACCTTTTTGGGTGACACCTTAGAAACTCAAAATATTTGATTAGTAGAAGCACTATCTAAATAACAAATTCTAATTTTAATTCGCGCATTACATTTATAAGTGTGGAGATGAAGCTCACTGTGAACCTGCTGACACAGCCGATTTGAAATGCTTCGTGAGCAAAAGTTTTCATGGTTGTTGTAATGATGCATCATGAATTATGCTTTGCCACTGATTCTAGTAACGAGAATTTTGTGAAGCTCAGTGTGTAGGTGTACAAACTACGAAAGCATTTCACAAAATACTATAACTCTATTACGTTCGACACTCGCTAGTAGCATTTAACAAGTTTAAAGCAAGGTGGTCCAATGACATGCTGCGAATTAGGTACATTTATTTGCAATATTTCATATGCCTCTAACCCACTATAAAACGGATTATGCAGTGACCTGATGACAGCGGCATTCCTAAACGTACGGACACTCACCAAAGAAAGGAGAGAATGTGTTCTTCAGCCGACTTGGCAGGCAGGCCACCATGATCACTGTTCTGAGGGCAGTGCGGTGACTTGGCGAATTCTGCTGCCAAGAAGTCCACGACCGGCCGCGTGACGCGGAAATTTCTTTTGAACTGGAAGAAAACAGGCCTTTAAGCAACCTAATTAAAACAGAAGCCGAATGACTCACCTCCTCGTCGGAGTAGCTAGCCACCGTCTTTGTAACATATGCTTCCACTTTCGGCCTTCGCTCTGGCAGAGAAAAGAGCTGCTGAAACGCTGCTGCATACACTTCGTCGTCATCGTCGCTGCTGCTTGAACTCGACTCGGACGTAGAGCTCCAGCAGCTATCGCTGCTGACATCGTCTAGCTCGTCAAATACTTCGGCAAGACGACGACGTTTTGCTGCCTCCGCCATCCGTGAATCTGAAGGCAGGCAAGGTGGCGTTCACTGCCAGAATCTGCCCGCTACGACGGTTAACAATCGTTCGAAGCCCGACGCACCACGCACGCTTCGCTGGCCGGCCATAACCGCCCGACACGACGCCGCACAATCGTAAACAAGTGAGGAGGATTGCTTGAGAGGGTATGTCCGGACATGACGTTCCAAAACACGTGGTTTCCTGCGTGTTTCCACCTCACTCGCTTTTTAAGAGGGAGCAGACAGAACTGACTTCCTGGCTGCTCTCGGGCCCAGCAAAGCGCTCTCGCTCTACCAATGGATGACCCAGTGCTCCTACTCCTGTTCGACCACTGAACACGCCGCCTCGGAAAGAGAGCACTTTGAGCGTGCTTTGGGTGTGCACCTGCTCTCCCAATGGAATTCGCCATTATAACTCCTTAAAAACATGCCCTTAACCCATGTTCGGGTAAGCTTACCGCTAATGCAAGGAGAGATCACTGATCCTCAAGCATCAAAATGCATGAAGAAAAAATGGAGATTCTCCGTCAGGCCTTTGGACTTCCAAAATAAAGTGGTAGTTTTAAATAAATAAACGTACTACCCAAAGCGATTACTTAGTTTCAATGTCTTTTATTTTCTAGTTTGGCACAATACACTACCTTGAGAAAATGCAAATGGGCCAACAGGTGTGTGGTAAGGACAATTTTTCCCAACCTTGAAGGTGTTTTAACGAGTTCAGCTTTTCAGGTGGGCCTTTGGTAAGCATATATTTGCTCACAACTGCATAACACGTAAAGGAATTCCTTGTTTCATGGCTGCTGGTTCTGCAACCCCATTTTTATCATCAAGTGATCTCTCTTGATGCTAGCCAAGCCACGTAATAGGCTATCCTGTTGGGCTACACTACTGCTTACTTGAACTGCAGAAGAGCTTGAGTCTACATTTGTTGTTTGTGAGGTAAGTGACAGGTCTCGTGACAGGTTCTCTGGCAAATCTCCACAATCAATGCAGAGGTTGTGAAGCACACAGCATGAAATGATAAACTTGGACATGTTATCCACTGTCCACATATCCAACCTGTGCAGTTGTCTGAAACGATTTTTTAAATCGCCAAAAGTATTTTCAATAAGCACCCTTGTCCCGGAGAGTCTTGCATTGAAGGTTTTTTTGATGCTGTCAAGATTCCCATAGTCTCGAATTGGTGTCATCAGGTACTCCCGGAAAGGATATGCAGCATCCCCCACTATATGGTACTTGCTAGAGCACAGTTGTGGCAAAACACTTGAAATCCTGGACCGACGGAAAATGCGTGCGTCATGAATTTTGCTTGGGTAGCCAGTGCTGGCATCAAGAAACCTCTTCTTGTTGTCACAAACACCTTGAAGTGTCAAGGATAGGTAATGGTGCCGGTTTATATAAACAGATCGCACTTTCCTGGCTGGGCACCTGATAGGCATGTAGCTTCCGTCAACACACCCAATTGTGTCTGGGAATCCCGACAGCTGCAAGAGAAAAAAATGTGCACACACATAGTCAAATAAGCATGGCACTAAGGGTAATGAAAGGTGCCAATAACATGCGGAAAAGTTTAAAACAAACTGGAGACTTGAAGCTCATAACGGCGAGTGCAATACACTACCGGTACACATGATTGAAATTAACTGGCTATTTAATTGTGAAGCATCTGGGAAAAATAATTGTAATAACTTATTTAAAAGGTGCATTCTGGCACTAACTAATTCATAATTGTAATAGTAGAGCGGTAAAGAACACATGGGACCGCACGAAGGGGAATTAATGACACATACAGAGTACATACAGAGTGCACAAGTAACTGAACTCTAGGTTTATTCACTGTACATGCAGGACAAGTACTAGATGTACATCACTAAGCAGAAGATGGGAAAATAGAAGAGATATGAAACAGCATCACATGGTCAAAACTACTCAAGAAAAATGTCCGATTGCTGACAGCATTTGTAATACACATGAAGGAGGCTTGACTGTGTGGTGCTCTTTCATATCTCTTGCATTTTTACATTTTCTGTTCATTTGCAGTTCTGATCCTGCATATCAGTTGCTTTCAGTCCTTATTGTGGTTTGAGTAGGTGTAATTCCTCTTAGTCTGGTCCCTTGAGTTGTGTAGAGCTGTATGACATTGGTGTGAAAAAAACTGTAGTTTATACCTTAAATAGCATGTTTACAAAAGCATAGTTACCTTCTCAAAATCCACAGCAAGCTTCTGCAGGTCACTGGGGAACTTGATTACATTCGGTGCTATGTCGAGCAGGAATGCAGTTACTCGGCCCATCATTCTGTGGTGAGTGCTTTCTGCGACTTCAAAGCGGCCAGCGACATCTCTAATGCATGCTTTGTTGGCTGCATACCTGAAAAGGAGAGGATACTCTAATTAAATAATGGAATTAAGCTTGCTGTTGCTGTCAATGACTGAATAATGGTGTTAACAATGCTGTCGCTGTCAATGAAGCAAATTAGCAAGACAACTGAAGTCAGAATTCCTAAAAGTGCCTATTTGCCATATGTTTAGTCCCACAACTGCATTAGCCAGTCTCCTTATCAGCTTTCATGACTTTACTTTTAATGTAAGTTATGTGACTAATCCACCTAAGGTTCGACGTGATCACGAGGCCAAGATATTTACATTCAGTAACAAACGATAAATTATCACCACTGATTCTGTATACAAAGGATAATGGATTCTTTTTGCGTGTTTGGTCACGGACAATACGATGATTTTTCGTTCACAACCAACGACTCCAACACCGAAACTCATGCCGACACCGACGCAGAAATTTCTCCGAAACGAGTTTCTGCTATCGCTTTTAAGGAGCCCTGCAACACATTTCCAAGCAGCCATGAAATGGATTCCCGACATGAGCTCATGGCCTCACGAATTCATCATCGCAATTTTTTTGTTAATCATCCAGTACAAGAATTCTCGGACGCTTCAATCGCATTCTGTCTATTCTCGTTCCGAGAAAAGCACTGGAAGCTAAGCTAAGCCCCTTTTCGTTGTCTTTTTTTAAATAAGCGGCTGCTCAGTGCGATTACTCGCGCACGCGTGGACAAGTCACAGCCTCCCACAGCGATCCATGTAATGACCGAGCACGCCATCAGCCAATGACTAATCTAAAGGCCGTGACAAGTGATTTTTGAGCTTTTGCGGTCATTCATATAGAGAAAAGTAGGCGATATTTAGCAGATTGTGAGAATTCATTGCGAATTCCAGGCTGTGTGTTGCCTTATAATATTTGGGTCGCGTGTTTTCGGGAGCATCAGCAGCATTTTCGGACCATGCGCAAAAAGTCTTGCAAGGCCAGATCAACCTATAGTCACGTAGTTGTGACTAGAGATGCTAAGTGCCGAAAAAATGTAATTTTTCTTTTTTTTCAGTGTCATTGCAAAAATTAACCGAAATTTCCGGAGATGAAGTATGCGGAAATAAAGCTTAGACAACAACCAGCGTTGAACATGAAACCAAAACGTCGCGCACCACACCAAAACACCAGACATCACATAAAGTCACCGTCAGCTTAGCTTGAGTCTATACCGTAGCTTTGTCGTTCGGGTGTGATCACGTTGGGGGCGGTTTCTCATGTTTTCGTACCCGTTATAGCTCTTTCCTTTTTTTGAATTCCCTCATACACTTCTGCAGCCTGTGGCGAAAGTCCGCTCATAAAGCCTCGTGCAAGCAGATTCTGCAATGGTTGTGCCAATTTCCGACTTGTGGATGCACTTCTTGGTCAGGAAAACTGTTGGCGGGAAACGGGGACTCCCTTTCTGTTAGAACTGCAACAGCTGTTACACTTTTCTCAATGCAACATTTTAACAAACTAAAGAAAGCTACAGATGGAGCCAGTGATACCGACTCTAAAAGAGAGGTTTCACGTCGTACTTTTACCATCTTGTTCAATGTTTAGATGGTCGAAGCCGGGAGGAAATAGACCTTTCTGGGTTATTTATTCTAACTGCCGTAATATTTCTTGGAAGCCGCACCTATTCACAGGGAGCTGAATTAAGTTCATGGTGGTGCTTCTGGCCCGCCTTCAATCTGTTCAATGCAGTATTTCTTTGTGAAAAAGGAGAATGCACTTAAATTTTGTTATTTACATGTTATAAGTCACTGCTTGGGAACTGCCCAAAAACCTATTGCAATACCCTCAAAAGTTGTTCTTTTCCATTTTTTCAGAATTTTAAAAAAAGGGGTACAAACGTTTTTTTTTCAACTGCTTAAAAATTCTAGAAATTTTGCTTTTCTAGTTGTGATGGTACCCAAGCAGGTACATACTGTGAGGTCCCAGCGAGAAATCGTATAGATGTCGGTTTATTTAGTGTGCTTGTGCCTGAATTAAACACAGTGGTGGCTAAATCAATCACTGCTGAAGGCGTCTGTCAAGACACTGCCCTTGCGCCCACTGGTGAAAAATTTAAAACCTTTGACGCCACACGTTCAAAGGCGTAGCTTGTGAGCAAGTCGCACATTCGAAAACACACTACGATTGCCAAGGTGCGTGTGCGTGTTGGTGCCGTATCGTTTATTATATCAGTGCGTTAGTAGAATAATATTATTGCTCGAAATACCTACATTACCACTTTGAAGGTATATAGTTGCAGGTGAAAATAGGAATGATAGCAAAAAGCAGGATACGCAAAAGCACTCGTGACATTGCGTCTGATAGAAGAAATGCTCCATAAGCTGGCCAACGAAGCAAAAAAGGACGTATTCAAAGAAAGTGATGAAATTTTAACCTAGAAAACATCATGAAAATCCATTTCACAATATAGAATTATGTCCGTAACGTTCGAGGTTGTAATAGAGAAAAGAAAGCTGAAAAACTGCTAACTTACCGAAAATTCAATTCAAAGAATAGCATGAAGTGACGAAGTACCATATTAAAAAAAAATCAAAAGTGGGTCATAGCACCGTGGTGCCCTTCATGTAGTCACTTAAACTCCTTTTCAAGGTAGAGGCAAAAAAAAGAAAATTAGCATTCCTAAAGAACTCGCAGCACGCTCGTGAAGTGCCTTTCAACTGGCACCCATGTCGAATCGCGCGTTTGCCATTCGGCGTCGTCGTGGCGGTTTTGCTCGCTCGCCCCGGCGCCAACGCGGCGCCTCCGCCTGCTCCTCTCTTCGTCTTTATGAATGCGTAGCGTTGTTTGAGCTACTCGCTTTGCTCGCGGGTGTTATAGTGTTGAGTTCCAGCGAACATGCGCATCTTTGGTGGCGGTCATGTCAGGCTCCGTGCTCCATGCGAACACGGACAACGCCTGCCTGTTAACGGAGAGCGCACTGCTAAAAAAAAAAGAGTTTTAAGTGCAGGGTACCCAAGCGACATGCGTAACCAGGACGTTAGGGCGCCGGTATTCCGCATGCGCGAAACCCCTCGAACATGCGTTGCTAGATCGCTGGGGTCGTGCGTCCGTGCGGCCAAACACAACGATACCACCCCTTCCCTCCTAGCGGAGATAAGCTGCCCCGGGCACACATGCTGACGCTTTTGGCGCAGCATGTTACCCGTGACGTCACCCACCTTCACGGCGAGCCAAGCCGAGGCTGGCCAGAGCCACCAGCTCGACTGCTAAGCACAAAGGCGCCAAATCTCGGACAGCATGGATCAGCCACCTCCAAAGATGCCCCCTCTAGCGAAGCAGTGCAGCGGAAGGTTTTACTTCACGCCCGAGGTCGATATTTTTCTGATACGTCAAGTGCTGGCCATGGACCCTTTTGAAGATGGTTCAAAATGGCCCGCCATCGCTCGCAACTTGCAGCGGTGTTGCTGAGAAACGTGGTTGCCCGGAGCCTTCAGGCATGAACTCTGTCGGGAACAATTGAAGTCGATAACTAAAAGTCGTGTTTGTATACGTTGTTTACACAGAGTTTCACGTTACACCGTTGTTTCGTTTCTACGACCAGCCGTCTGCATTGCTTGGCATTATTATTAGCGGCTTCAGTCGAACATCAAATGGCGGCCCATACGAAAAAAATGTTTTCTCTTTTCGGTTTATAACTGTCATATTATTAATCAAAGCTTTATTGAAAGTAATTAACTTTATACCGTGTGTATGTTTATATGACTATCACATCATAAAAATAATTTTTAAAATACTGAAGTGTCAAGAATCTATGGCGCTACGAACGCATGTGACCTTCGTGCAGCTCCGGTTTTCATGCGTGCCGCAAATCTGCGCTCGATGTGCAGATTTGCTGTTGCAGTACCACTCGTTTTCCTGATAGATGGAGAGCGCTGACGCTGCCAAAAACTGGGAGCTGGAGATCGTGCCTGGTGCTCCCGGTTACGTCCCGGCCAGAAGGGTCACGATCAACCCCCCGATTGGAAGGACGTGTCACGAGGGGCGAAGATTCTACGAGGAATTGCTCAAGCAGGCCGTGATTCGTGAGCAGAAAGCACTTCCCGAAGGAGCAGGGGCTTAGCGATTCCAGAAGCTGGAGCTCCTGCAGTGGAGGAGACGCCCGCTGAGTTCCCGACTGACCAAGTGGGCACCGGTGACAAGCCTGGCGGTTCGTGTGCGCGAGACTACAAATAGATCTCGGGCGATGCGAAACTTTCTCAAGGAAAAATGGCAGCCACATTTACAATTTGTGTGAAACGACGGCCTTTTTTTGTTTCATGCCACGGAGTTATTTTATACTCTGAAAAAACAATCGTCACTCGTTCATCTATGCAGTCAGTTTATTTCGTCGCGGGTGCGCTCTAAAGAAGGGTATGCTGAATGTGACGGATATCCGCTCTCATATTGCAGTGCTCACAAGGACAAAAAAGTGACAAGGCTTGTCGGAGGGGGGGGGGGGGCTATTTGAGGACCCTTTATTATCACCGGCTTGACGCATATGAATTCGATAAACGCGGTGATTCATTGCAGAGAAGAACAGGCGATACAGACCCCCTAGCATCGGCTTAAATGCCAAGTAGTGATGGAAAACAAAGTAAACACAAAATTTACCGAAGCCCATTTGTACCATTTTTTCCACCACAGTACATTTAGCTTGATGGTGGTCGTTCTCGTTCGGCGCTTCTAAAACGAAATTACTGATATGATTTTTTTGCACAGATTTGGCTCGCCAGGTTTATGACTCGGTTTTACAAGCCGCGTCAACTCGGTTAGAAAAGTATTATACTCTCTTCGGAGAGGTGTAACACCTAAAAGAGAGTTAAAAGCGTCTCTTTAATTAAGTCCTATACGTTGCTAGACCAGACTACTCGAAAAAAGCAACAACATAGTCCTTTTTTTTTTCTCCTCTGAGTGTACAACACGAATGCTCACCACAAACAACCTCCAAGCATTTTGAAGAATAAATGTGCAAGTGTGCCCGTTTATCTTTGTCCTGCTAAACCATGGTCGGTTGTTCAGCCATTGCCTGCTCCAACCCGAGAAGG